ATATGTTACTCATCTACTACCAGCACCCCTCCATTCTCAATTTTTATTACTCCTGGATGGATCAGAATTCAAGGCATGAAAGTTTAAAGCCTGCTAAATGCAACAAATTCCAGTGGCTTAAAGCAAAAAGGTTTCCTAAACGAAGATCACTATTTAAGCCTGTATACAAAAGATGGCCCAGCCTTAACATTTCAATATATTAGCGGCTCAGAAAGGCATCTTTACTCTTGTGAATAACCCCTCTGGTATGTGTGATACCACAACTCGCTCCTGTAATACTGCTAAGCCACGTCTGACTGCACTGTCTCAAGCTACGTCTAGGCCATAGCTGGTTGTAGATCATGCTGATTGGAGACATCCATCTAGCTCTGCCTCTTGCAGCCCATTTTGGACATGGCCAAAGTCTGTGTAATTTGGACTTCTGTAATATGATGTATTGTCTCATGCCCTCAGCTCCAACTGCACCTCCCGTTGCTCAGCTGGGTGTGGTGAGTGGTACAGAACTCCATCTCTCATGGCAGGTATGTACGTGTGCCCACAAGAGGCTTTCACTGTCTCAAGTAATTGTCATATGGGGTTTTGGTTACCAAATGAGAGCGAGTCCTGCACACTTTGAGTCTCTTGGCGATAGCGCAGATTACACTTCGTAACTAGTCATCAGTTAAGTGATACATGTATACACTATTCAGTTTGAAAGCCAAGGCAGTATTTTAACCAGTCATACTTTGAACTTTAATTCAAGGTGCATCATGGAGGCTGTAACCCCAATATTGTTCTTCATGATGGATCGATTTTCCAAATCTTCCTGTTATTTTTTTAGCTCCCTGATGAATCTACCAGACAGTGTGATAGCTTGGAGAACATCCAGATCTATGTTAAACAGAGGTCCGACAGCGAGTTCCCAGCATTCCCTTCTCAATTAGACCCTTCAGGAACGGACACCAGACTAGGTTCACTGATACCCTGCACTCAGTATGACGTGTACATCACATTCAGCAACCGGGGTGGCTTGACCAGCCCCAGAAGTAACACAGTCAGTGCAACGACTGCCACAACAGGTGTCTATTTTGTTTTTTCTTTCATTCGAGGAACTTCTGATAGAGTTTGGTTTGTTAAAATTGAGTGTCTGTGAACACCAACATACCTGCTGATATCAGTGTAAGTTATTCCGCACCCATTTGCATGCAGATGTCCTTCTTGTATTTTCGTTTAATTTATTTCATCTTCAATACAATGAACAACAAAGCTAAGGGAGCCCAATAATTCCATCCCAGTAGAATTTTGTTTGAGAAATGTTCTGCTAGGATCATCAGTTGACACCCTTTAACTTACTGGGTATTTGATTTTTACATTCGAAGTTTCTGTTGCCAGCAAGCAGGTTGCAGCTGTTTTCCACTTTACGCTTCTAAATTTAAAGGGTTAAATTACCAGTGTTGCTTAAAGTTGTGAAGTGATGTGATCAAGTGCATGATCAAGTTGGGGCTAAAGATCCACGTGGCCTAATTACACTCACAGGAGGAGGGCGAGAAATAACCCCTGTTCAAATCTGACTCCCTGATTATAACCTAATCATTATAAGTAACTTATAACCATTGCTGGA